GTCGTCGTCGTCGTCGTCATTGTCGGTGTCGTCGGCGTCGGCGGCGGCGTTGGCGGCGTCGTCGCGTCGTCGTTGTCGGCGACTGCGGCGGCGTCGTCGTCGGCTGCGTCGCGGCGTTGACGTCGGCGGCGGAGTCGGCGTCGTCGCGTCGTCGTCGTCGGCGGCGGCGTCGGCGTCATCGGCGGCGGCGTCGGCGGCGTCGGCGCGTCGGCGCGTCGTCGTCGTCGTCGTCGTCCGCGGCTGCGTCGTCATCGTCGGTTGCGTCGGCGTCGTCAGCTGCGTCGGTGTCGGCGGCGGCGTCGGCTTCGGCGGCGGCGTCGGCTTCGGCGTCGTCGTCGTCGTCGGCGGCGGCGGCGCGTCGTCGGCGTCGTCGTGGTCGTCGCTGGCTGCGTCGGCGTCGTCGGCAGCGTCGTCGTCGGCAGCTGCGGCACCGGCCTTCTGAATAACTCCGCCATGTCGCGCCCCGAGGCCAATCGGAAGGGCGGGCCGGGCATTTCGCCTGGGACTTACAAATTGTTCATGATCGTGACGCCTTACATATTCGCAACAGTTTTATGAATGGAGGGCGGGCCGCTTCCAAAGTGTGGCTGCTCTCGCTTGAGCGCGCCGCACACTCGCTCAACAATATTGATGGAGTCATGAGTTGAAGGCGTGCGGTTTTCAAAATGTGGCTATCGCCTCAACGCTGCGCACACTCGTCTCACACATTGCAAAGAGCTTCACGGATTGAGGGCGGGATACTCTCCAAATGCGGCTCTCGCCTTAGCATCGCGCGCATTCGTCTTAACAAGTTGCAGGATTTTCGCGGAATGAGGGCGGGCGGTTTCAAAATGTAGCTCTCGCCTTAGCGCCGCACGCTTTCGTCTTAAGAGATTATAAAGTTTCTAAGGGTTTGAATTGTTCTCATGGTCAACGTCCCAGAAATGGAATGTTGGCACGGTGTCGAAATGTCACCGCGCAACAGTTACGTTCATTCGCGCTGTTCAAGTCCCAAGAGTGGTTATGTGCCACGATTCAGGATCGTCAAAACGCAATGGTAACGATGATTCGTGGCGTTGAAGTTCCAGGGGTGGTGCCCTAGCACGATTCAACAATTCCAAGCGGCTGTCTTCTAACGGGGCGGTTTCCTCGGACGAAATGGATCTGAGTAGGAGCCTGTGAAGAGGGAACTGGGGGGAGGGTGTGTTGCAATATCGTTAATGAAACTTGGGTCAACACTGTTCCTCCTCCTCCTCCTTCCCCTCCTCCTCCTCCTCGTCCCCCTCCTCCTCCTCCTCCCCCCCTTCCCCCTCCTCCTCCCCCTCCCCCTCCTCCTCCTCCTCCTCCCCCTCCTCCCCCTCTTCCTCCTCCTCCTCCCTCCTCCTCCCCTCCTCCTCCTCCTCCCTCCTCCTCCTCCTCCTCCTCCTCTCCCTCCTCCTCCTCCTCCTCCTCCTCCTCCTCCTCCCCCTCCTCCTCCCCCCCTCCTTCCTCCTCCTCCTCCTCTCCCTCCTCCTCCTCCCTCCTCCTCCCGCGCCCGGCCGGAGAGCCACCCGGGGGGCGGCGGCGGCGGCAGCAACTCGGGCGGCCGGCCCAGGCCTCGGCCATCCCCGCCCCCTGTCGACGGCCCGGGCCGCCGCCGCCGGGCGCGCCCTCGCGTTCGCGGGTGCGGCCGCCGCCAATGGCGCGGGGGCGGCCAGGTCCGCGGGGGGGGGGGCGGTCGGCGGCCCGCTTGGTGGGGGAGATATATAAAGGGAAATTAGGACACACAAATAAATACACACAAATGAAAATAGTCCCCATATTTTCCTATATTTTCTGGGTTTTTGTCTTCCCCCCCACTGCCCATCTTTTCCCATATTTTCTCGGGAATCGAAGATTAATTGTGTCTGTGTGTTTCTTCCCCTCCTGAATATAAGACGAAGCCAGGACGAGGACAACGTCGGGCGAGGGGGGGAGCGGGGAGGAGAAGGCGAGGCCAGGGCGAGGATCGGGCGAGGAAACTCGAGGAGCTCTGGGATCTGGCGGCCCTGGAAGTGGCATCGGGCGCCGCGGCATTCCCGGAGCGTTCCGGAACGCCCTGGGACCGTTCCGCAGCGCTCTGGTGCGGATTTGTCCTCGTCCTAGCCCCGTCTGAGGGGAGGAGGAGGAGGAGGAGGAGGAGGAGGAGGAGGAGGAGGAGGAGGAGGAGGAGGAGGAGGGCGATACCAGCTGGAGGCCACAGCGTCCAGCTCTGGGCTGCCTCGGGCTGCATGGCCGTGCCGTCGCCGCCTCTGCTCGCCCGCGGCGCGTCGCCCGCGGACCCGACGTCGGGGCGAGGGCGCTGAGGGGCAGGGCTAAGTCGGGCCTGTCCCCCTACAGGCCGATTTTCGACGAAAAAATAAAAACCGTCAACAAATGCAGCAAAATGGTCAAAAGTATTCAAAACATCGTCCCCTGACTATTTTTTGATTCGATTATTTTTGAATGCTCCTCCTGTAGAGGGACAGGCCCGACTTCAGGGTAGGGCAGCGGGATGAGAATCACCAGACTCGCTGTGTGGTGGGGGCCCGACCACAAGAAACCTTCCGCAAGAAGCCCAACCCCGAGACCCCAGCACGTCTATCGAGTTTTGGCGCGGGAATCGCAAAACTGTCGAAACCCAACGAAACCCAGGGCACCCTGGAGGCAAGCAGGGTGTTTCTTGGCATGGGCCCCCACTGTAGGCTTACAAGGCGCGAGCCTCAACCCATCTTTAGGGACGAGGTGGTGATCGATGAATCATACCGGGAGCTGTGCTGCCGCCCGCGGGAAGTCCGTGCAAAGAGGGAGGGCAGCGGGAGGAGGGAGACGAGAGAGGGCGATGGGGAAGCATGTGGAGGTGGGGGAAGAGGCGAGGGGGGAGATTCCCCGAGGGTGGAACGTGGAAAACTGGAGTAAAAAGAGGAGGGCGGATCTCTCCGGCCCCCCTCCCCCTCCCTTCATGACCGCCCTCCCCCCCTCTCTCTCCTCCTTGCCCCCGCCCCGCCTCCTCATCTCAGAGTAGGAAGGGGGGAAGCAGGTGAAGCCGAACATGACCAACCTCCCCTTCACCTTCTTCCTCCTCCCCACCCCCCTCCCTCCCTCCCCCTCTCCGCCCCCTTCCCTCCTCCTCCTCCTCCTCCTCCTCCTCCTCGGCCCCCTCAGGCGGAGGAGGAGGAGAAGGAGGGAGGAAGACAGGGAGGAGAAGGAGGGAGGGGAGTTGCGCGTGACAGTCCTGCCACCAGCCGCAGCCACAGCAATGATGGGGGCAGGGAGGAGGACGAGGAGGCGGCAGGGAGAGGGGAGCACGAGGAGGAGAGGGGGAGGGGGGAGCACGAGGAGGAGAGGAGGGAGGCCGAGGAGAGAGGCGGGAGGCGGGAGGCCGAGGAGGACGAGGCGCGAGGAGGCCGAACGAACCGCCAGCCGCCGCTCGCCCCAGCCTGGCACGCCCGACATGGGTACACCCTGCGAAATGCTTAAGAAATCATGGGTTAAGAAACTCAGAGTCTCAGAATTTGAATAAAAACCCAGAACTTCTATCAAAATCTTAAGCTTTACATTGAGACATTAAGAATAATCGAGGCTCTCGCCGAAAACTTGAGTTTTCTTAAGCATCGCCTAGGGTGTACAGAGAGCATGGGTGCGATGCCCAGCTGTTCTCCAAAATCGGAAGCGGCCGCTGTCTGGCAGGCAACTCTTTTTTGTCTTCAGTGGACCACGTCCACGGCGGCGACGCCGACAGCAATCCTGCTCTTAGGTCGGGCATGCCCCCCTACAAGCATATTGTGGGCGACAAACACAGCATAGTCGACAAATACTCAAACATGAATAAAACCAATAGTCGAAACATCGTTCCCGGACTATTCTTGGACTATTTTTCAATATTCATCCTGTAGAGAGACAGGCCCGACTGAAACCTGCTGAGAACGGACAGGAATAGAGGAAAGAGAAGTGTGCACGCCTTCAATAGAAAAACCATCGACACCCAAGAAACCCAGGGCACCCTGGAGGCAGGCAGGGTGTTTCTTGGCATGCGTCTCCCCTGCAGGCGGATTTTGGGCGACAAATGAAACATAGAGTCAAAAAATACTCGGACATAGCTGAAACAAGAGTCGACAGAACGCCCCCGAACCATTCTGGGACTGTGTTTGAATCTTCATCCTGCAGATGAGACAGGCCCGACTTAATCCTGCTCAGTACGGACAGGAATACACCATGCGAAATGCTTAAGAAATCATGGGTTAAGAAATTCATAGTCTCAGAAATTGAATAAAACCCAGAACTTCTATCAACATCTTGGGATTTACATTGAAAAAGTTAAGAATAATCGAGACTCTGGACGAAAACTTAGGTATTCTTAAGCATCGCCTAAGGTGTAGAGGCGAGAGAACTGTGGCACGTGCACCGACCCTGGTCAGGTCCACCCCGAGCCCAGGATCGGTGCATGTGCGCCTTCGTGGCTCGGCCGGGGCATGCACACACACACACACACACGCACCGCTCCCAGGGCCCAGCATGGGTCTGGCCTGTATCGGTGCACGTGCATCATGAGTGATCATGTTCCAACCTACCTTGGCCTCGATCACCAGAAAGAATTTCGGGCTTCCAAAAAATATCGAACCTCGAGGGTTTTCACGTGCCGGGCCCTGGGAGACACTCGTCCGACACTGTTTCGACACTCGTTCGACATTTTTTCGGGTGCTCGGAATCATTTCTGGGATGGGGCCCGTATGCACGATGGGAGCAACATAAATCTGGAGCAGGGACCGACCGTCCCGGCATTCCTATAGGCCTACTGCGAAATATTCTTAGAACCCCAACATGTTCCAATAACAAAAACACTGCTCTTAGAACATAAGCCCAATGTAGTAAAACAAAACAGACTCAGCCAGAAATGCTCTAAGAACATCCCGTACAAACCACAACAGGTCCTTAGAACATTATTCGGTGGGTCTATAGGCGAGCCAGGACGCTTCGCCACTGCTTGAGCATCGGTCTCCTCGCCCGAAAAACATGCCATCGGCCTTTGTGCCCACTCTTTCCGTGCCGACTTCGATCGTGCCGGCCAGCGGATCAGGCCGCCCGCCCCTGTCGGGATCCGCCAAAGGGGGGTTGACCCTGAGGGGGGGGGCATGAGCTCGTTCCGCTGGTGCACCGAACTGCCGAAACCGAATGCCCCACGCACGCCCCGCCTATCGGGTGCTGCTGGCGGCGGGGGGGCATCTGTTCTGGGCGGTTCGGTACAGAAACCGATCGAACTCCACCCCCCCTGGCCCGACAGGAGACCCAAGAATCGCATCGATGAATCGGCTCGGCGAACGAAAAGACTCGGCTCGGCAGAAAAATCGGAGTCCCGAGCCGAATCGAATCGGCACCGGCGGCCGTCGGCCTCGGGTCGGATCGAACTGGGGTTAAGTCGGGCGTGTCCCCCTGCAGGGGGCTTTTGGGCGAAACGCTGAACATACCACAAAAACATGCTCCCCAAAAATGCGGAATGCGGAGAAAGAATCAAAAGAAGTAGTCCCCAGACTATTCCTTGACTATGTTTGGACCTTCCCCCTGTAGAGGGACAGGCCCGACTTGCCATTTGGACGCCCGAAATGGGTACCGAACAAATGGGCACTATGCCCAACAGCAAATGTTGTCCCAAACCAACAGCGGCCGCTGTTGGGCGGGCGGCCTCCTGCCTCGAAAGGACACAGGCCGCGGCGGCGCGGACAGCGGATCTTGTTCAGAATGAACAAGATCCGCTGTTGGGCATTGTACCCCAGACCCCAGATTTCGTAATAAAAGGAGGGGGGTCTCATTTCGGGGGGGTCTCTTCCAGGCTATGGAGGGCCTGGGGGGGTCTGGGGACGGCGTTTTGGAGGGTTCTCCCACGGGGGGGGTCTGAAATGGCTCGTCTTGGAGGGTCCAGACCCCCTCCCTTTTATTACGAGATCTGGAGTATCCATTCTTTCAGTACCCATCTCGTGCGTGCAAAACTTACCACCGGGGCAGTCGAAACGCCCCCCCCCCCGGGGCACCCGCCCCCTTGGCGGGGGTTCCCGCCCCTGCCCGCCCCCGGCGCGGGGGGCTCGCCGGAACCCCTCGGCGCGGGCCCGAGGCTCGCCGGGCGCGGCCGCGCGGCAGGAGGGCGCGCGGAGGAGGGCGCCGGGCGCAGACCGCCGCTCTCGCCGCCGCGGTTTCGTCCCTGGCGCCGCCTTCCGCCGCCGTCTGCCTCCCTCCCTCCTCGTCCTCCGCCTCGCCCTCCTCATCCTCGTCCACTCTCTCCCCCTCGCCCTCCTCCACCCTAATCGTCCCCCTTCGCCGCCACCCTCCGCCGCCGCCTCCTCCTCCTGCTTTCTGCCTCCTGCCTCTTTCCAACCCCTCCTCCTCCTCGCCACCCACTGGCCTCCACCAGCTGCCCCCTCCGCCGCCCCCCCCCTCCCTCTGGACGCTCGCTTGCCTCCGGCCCCTTCCTCCTCGTCCTTCTCCTCGTCATCAGCCTCACTCCTGGTCCTCCTCCCCCCGTCTGCCCGCCGCCATCGACAAGCACAGCGCACGACGGCCGCAGCGAAGCACGGAGTAAGACAGAGAGGGCCACGGACCGAGGCGGATCGTGGGCGGCCCTGGGAGGTCGACGAACGGGGACGAGAACTTACGGGGCGCGAAAACGACCACAGCCACTGCTTTTCTTTTGTTGCCGCCTTCCAGCCCGCAGAAACAAAGCAGTGGCTGTGGTCATTCTCGTTGAGCTTGGCACCAGGGAAATGACCACAGCCACTGCTGCTTTTTCGGCCGGCTGGAAGGCGGCGCAAACAAGAAGCAGTGGCTGTGGTCATCTTCCCGCCCCGCAAAACGGAAGCGACGACGGGGACTCGGGGGCGACGAACGGGGGCGAACGGGGACGACGAGGGCGGCGGGCGAGCGGGAAGCCGACAGACGAGGGAGGTCGACGACGCACGGGGGACGAGGCGGGCGGCGGGCGAGGACGCGGGGGGCTCGGCGGGGCACGGGCAGCGCAGGGCTCGGGACTCCGACTCCGCCTTTTCCCTTGGTGGTCTCCAAGCCAGGTGGTGAGACACCCGGTGGTGACCCCGATTCCCCAAACAAATCGGGGATCTTCTGACCCGGGTCAATCCAGACCCGGGTCAATCAAGCCTGCAAAATTCTGCAAAATCCTGCACCCAAACCCGGGTCAATGCGAAGGACCCTGCAGGATCCTGCAGGATCCTGCACCCAAACCCGGGTCAATGCGACCCTGGCGCTGCAAGATCCTGCAAGATCTGGCGCTCTGGCTGACCCCCGTCTGCACTGACCCCCGTCTCAAGGCTCCCGAACACATAATTCTGGGTCACCACCGGGTTTGGGGACACGCGGTCGCCACGGGGTTTTGCGTTTCCTGGGCCAGCCGGCGCTCGAAAGCCATTGCCCAAATCGCCGAAGACTCACCGCCGGGTGCTCTCACCACCACGTTTGGGGACCACCACCCGCAGGGCTCCTTTCGCCGTCGTGGGTGCGTGGCGTCTGCGGAGCGGCCCCGGGAGGCCGAAGCTGCTGACCATCTTCGGGGGCCCCAAAGCTGTGCGGTGATAGGCCTTGCGGTGACGTCGGGACCCCCAAAGACGTCACCGCGCGGTCCGTCACCGCACCGTCTTGGTACCTCGAATGCCCCAATCGCCTGAGACGTGCGCAGAGAACGATCCGAATCCCACTTGAGTCAACTGGAGTCCCCACTGACTCGCCACACCGTGTGGTTACCGCACTGTTTTGGGGCCCCCCCGTTTTCAATGCGTGGCCCCAGAAGTCCCGACTCCGTCCCCAGGGCTAGATTTCCAACCCCCAGGTCAGGTTCTGATGGTCCTGGGGCCGGAAAAAACCAGAGGCCGATATCGATGGAAGCTGCGAGATCGAAAAAGTCACATCGTCGAGGATCTGGCGATACAATCGCCGCTCCTGAGGCTCCCGAACCTCGCTGCGTTGTCCGCGTCGTGCTGGATGGGCCCAAGGAGACCCCGCGCGATTCCCGCGCGCCGACGCGGGCGGGGCCCCCTTGGCGGCGCCTCGCTGGTGCCGCTCGCCAGGAAGGGGGGGTCCAACGCCGATCCAAAAAACTCTGCGCGGACAGCCGGACGCCTCTGCTTACGATGTTGTCTCATTAAGAGATCCTTATCCGACTCTCCATCCCCCTCAGCTTCCTCCACCTCCTTCGGGCAGTAATGAGACCAGGCTTTAAAATGGACTCGGGCTGGAGTGCCCGGGCCGCAATGAAAATGACGAGACCTACTCGGAAATTTGACGCGAACTCGCGTTGCAAATGTCACATGGAAACTGGACCGTCAATGAGCGGGACGAGCCCGTCAGCAAATTCGACTTTCTGCGGACTCGAGTTCCACATTTCCCTGACTCCTCTTCCATCTTCTCCTCCACTTCTCAGCCGCCTTCCCACTCCTCCTCCCCTCCACCTCTTCCACCTTTCTCTATCTCCTCATCATCCTCGCTCTCCCTCCCTGAAAACCGTCTCGATACATGACGTCTGCCAGACCGGGAGCCATCTGTTCAAACATTTTTCTGCATTCCGCCCACTTCATGCTGCCTGCTGGAAGCGCTCAAGTGTGTGTGTGTAAGTGTGTAAGTGTGTGTGTGTGTGTGTACGTAAGTGTGTGTGAATGTGTGCGTAAATGTGTGTGTGTGTAAGTGTGTGTGTGTGTGTGCGGTTGTCGGGTCGTCGCTGTCGTTCCCCTCGCCATTCTCCCGTTCCTGGGTTCGCCGTGGTGCCCCGAGCGTCGCCTCCGCTGCATCCGTGATGCGCTCTCCCGGGCCGTCACCTGGGCGCCGGCGCTCGTCGCGCTGCACCCGGTTTCTGCCGCCGCCTCGCGCTGCCCCGAAGCAAGCCGCCGGCGTCGCTGCGCGTGGTTGGCTGTATCGCATCCCTGTTTTTGCGCAGGCACCCCCTGTTGGTTGCCCTTCATCGGGACATCCTCGGCGGTAGACAAGTCAGCGCAATCCGGAGAAGGCCTTTGCAGGATACGATCATCCGGCCGTGACGTTATATATATATATATATGTATACACACATACATACATACATACATACATACATACATACATACATACATACATACATACATACATACATACATACATGCATGCATACATACATACACACACACACACATACATACATACATGCATACATGCATGCATGCATGCATGCATATATATATGTATATATATGCACATATATGGACCCTCAGGCAAGGACAGCAGATGGAGGTGCCAATTGCGATCGAGCGCAGTCGAAGGCACAGTTTGCATCAAGTGCACGCTATCAAACGCAGCGATAGGTGGTGTGAAGAAACTGCACATCCAGGCGAAACACGCAGCGGCCAGGTACAGTTAAGCGCAAGCAGTCTGTTACGGATGGGCGGCCACTAGAAATATCTCTCTCTCTCTCTCTATATATATATATATATTCATACACGTATTTACACCTGCGCGCACTAAAACCACGCGCGCGCGCTACTCGAGCGCGCTTCGTGTTCTAGTCACAGCTCAACCATTATTTTCGTGCTCGCTCTTGCCATGGGCGACGATCTGGATCTCCCCGCATGTGGGTTTTGCAAAGGTGCGCGGTGGGCTGGAAGGGCAGCGCGGCACGCGAGTAATTCCTCGGCGACATGGAGACACTGCGAGGAGCGCTGCGAACCGCGGTGACGACGGGACAGCGGCCGACTGTAATACCATCGCTGGCCCCTCGGGCGCGCATGCTGCTGTGGCCGTACCACCGACACCCACGGGAACTGCTACGGAGAATACGCCTGTCATGTCTCCCGTGGACGTGGGGCGCCCGCACCGGTGATGCCGTGTCGTGTGGCTCCTGGCGCTCGTCGTGCTGGTCGGCAATCGGTGCTCAACTTTGATGCTTCCCTTTCGAAATGGTCGAGTTTTCGGGCTGGCATTTTGACCGCCCGACCTAACTACCTGCACCACCGCGTTGGGGGACGTTCCCTATGTTCAATTGGTGACCTGAAATGTATGTATGTGTATATATATATATGCACATATCTATATGTGTATATATATACATATATATAGGTATATGTTGCCCCTTCCTTTGCTATCGGGTCTTCTCGGCTGCAAGAACACGAGCGTTGTCAGAGGCGCGCTATATCCGACATTCCTTG